GTTGTTCATAGTTGGAGGGGCCTCTAATATCCGTATTCAAGCCAGCAGATTCAGAGGACTGCACATAGGCAGGCTTGATTCTAATTAAATCAGTCACATCAGTGGGCTTTCGTTGCTCAAGAACAGACGTCTGTTTGTCAATCAAGTCAAAATTTTTGTTCACATTTTCCCCAACTTCATCGGAACTATATCCTTTTCTAGTTGTACTATTAAAGAGGCCTATAGAACATACAAAACAATATGTTAGCATCAATCCTCTCAAGACAGAACATGGAAGAGAATAAGAAAAAAAAAATCATATCATAACAAGATATGAAAATCCCAGAGAACACTACCATCATAGGATGACGAGAAAGAATGTTCACTAGCCAAAATATTGTTACTACTGGAATCTGTATCTTGTAAACTGCCAGCAGTATTCTGTGGAGAAGTATTTGCAGAAAATTTATGCAAAGAGCCAGAGCTCTTAATTATAGAATTCTCTCGACCATCTCTTCTGTAGAGTAGTCCATCCACCCCATGCTGTGCAGATTGACTAGAAATGCTATCGATCCCTTCATTAGCTTGTGGGTTTATGCCAAATGCGCTCCCAAATGGCGTTCTATCCTGGGATCCACTGATTACTCCAGTGTCGTTATTTATTTCTGATATTTCATTTCTACTATAATCATCTGTGGTTCCAGCGACTCTCAAACCTTTGAGTGTCCTAATTTCTTGACTGTTTGACGGTTGCTTCACTGGATAAGCAGGGAAACCTCCATCAACATTTCTTGTAGATGGATAGCGTGCACGACTTTCATTCAAAGCATTTTGATCAATATTCTGAGAAAAGTTATCTGCATGTCTGACATCTTTGACTAGGGCAGAAGATGATTCAACAGCAGATCTGTCTGTTCCGTTTGTTGTCGTAGCTCCATCAGAATCTGTAATTCGTTGAGCATGTTCAGATTCTAAAGGCTTCTTCTCCTGGGAACCACCATCTGAAATGTGATTTTGGATTGGTGGTGCAGCTTTCTTAACTCGCTCTGCTGCCTTTTTCTTTCTGAACTCTTCTAACTGCAAGAAAGGGCACAATGAAGAACATCCAATGATAAATTATGTTATTGTTTTTTAAGGAAAAAAGGGGTCTTAATGACAAAGCCTTGTGCAGACACACAGGAACAACCAATTTAATGAGAGAAAATGAAAGTCATTAGGAGTAATAAATCAAACCATCTAAATGCATCTAAAGTATGAGCATCAGGAAGTTTACTATAAAAGCACAGGGCACATGTAACCAAGTGTCCAAGTAAAAGGTTCATCAAACTCATATCAACGACAAAACCTTAGTGTAACTGCACGACTCACAACTTCACTAATTGGAGGTTTTATGTGTGAATTCCTTTAGCTAGAGACCTTTCCACCTGCTTTGAGATGTAGTTCTCTTCGTTCCACTTAGTGAAAAGTTTATCGCTATTCATAAACGAAGCGTCTAGATAAAAACGCTTAGGAAATGTGCTTAAAGCAATCAAACATGCATTCAAATCATCTGAGAAAGTAACAATACTCCAAATATAATGCTGAACAAGCACCAGAAGGTGGGTCAATCCCCTATCATAGGTGCAATTGACATCAACCCCACAGCTTAAAACATTTGGTCAAAAGTGCGAGCATAAGCAAGTTATAGCCAGATACTTGGCATGGGAAAACATAGGCATTTACGTTTTTCCCCTTCCACTCGAAAAACCTCACCCTTTTGACCATAAGAAGCTCTTTGTGCAGGTTGATAAGTCCAACTTTCAATCTTTGTTCAAACCTCAAGTCCAAAGTTATAAACAATATATATAGCTCGAAAAATTACAGCATCCTTAAATCCATGGCTTGTCATAAGTCAGCTTATCGACCTCCATGAAATCATTCATCCAAAGCATTGAGTACAAACATTTTCTAATGAATATAACAGGTATCAGTTCCATGAATGTGAAAATTGAAACCAACGATTTCCCTAGCAGCTCGATCGTGGTCAATTAATCCCAACTCAACCAGCATATTGCATACAGAGTCTCAACATTAATAACCGACACTTTGATATAAAAACGTACAAAGCTACATGCTCAGAAAACATCCAATCCAAATTGAAGATTTGAATTACATTCAAGAGAGAGAGAGAGAGGGAGAGAAGAAAAATCCTTACCCGACGCTTCCCTGCTTCCAAATGCTCTAATTTACGAGTCGAGGCCATCGAATTGGGCAAAACCTGAGCCGAAGCCATCAAAACAACGACCCCCAGCTCAAGAAGACGAACACAAACAAACCCAAAATCCTCATGGTGACACCATTTCCAGGTACAAAAACACAACCCCACAAAACGAACCAAACAAATCAGCCCCGGCTAAATACAATGAATCTAAACAAAACACTGCGAGACTAAAGTAGCAGAAAAACAACCGAAATTGATGATAGTTGTCGGGAAATTGATGATAGTTGTCGGAAAATTGATGGGAAAACCACACAAAATGAAGAATTGTGAATTGGGGAAGAGGAAAAACGTTGTTGGATAAATCCGAAGATACAAAAGGGGGCAGATTCCGATCGGATCGGACACGAGGAGATCTGTGGGAAAAATGAACAACAATCTGGCAGATCTCCTCTGCTAACTTCGTTCCCCCGTGTATGCGTTTGTAGATTGTTCCCCCAGAGAAAAATTGTGCGGATTTTGCTCTTGTAATTTCGGTGGGGCGTCAAAAAAAAAAAAATCCGCTACCCGCCGTGAGCCTGTCAACGGTGGTTCCCAAAAATATAATATATGGAAGCGTCAAACGTGTGTTTCATTCTGATTGGGTAGTTCGCGGCGGGTAAAATGTTTGGACTAATTAACTATTTATTTATTTAATTGTAAAAAAAAAAATTGTTATAAATTTTCTACTTTTTATCTTGAAAAAATATTCCTAAAACTTTAAAAAAAAATAATTAAAAAAAATTCTTATTATTAATTTTAAACAGAAATCATAAGTAATTTAATACAAAAATATTCTTAAAATTTTTTAAAATGTTTTAAAAATACATGTGAACATTTAAAATTTCATTAATTTTTAAAAAAATTTAAAAAAAAAATACTCCTACTATTATCGAACCTACATCGTCTGTTTACGTTATTTATTTTTAATTAGAAAAAACCAATTTAAAAATAAAATTTTCAAGTTGAAATTTATCATAATATTATTTAAAAACATTTAAAAGTATTAATAAATTTTTTGAAGGTTCGAAATTATTTCTATTATTTAAAATTAATAAATATATTTGACATGAAATTCAAAGTTTATGATTTAATTACAAATAAACTTCTAACTTATACGGAATCAATCAATTATTTTTATTATAGAAAAAATCTTATAATTTAAATACATAAATGAGTGTTTAAAGATGAGGGATTATAATTAAATGTTGTTCACCTTTTAAATTAGCGATTTATTCGAAAGTATTTTTAAGTTGAAATCGTTTTCGTTTAAGGCACAGCACAACAAAGTCTGGGTGGTGTAGTTGGTTATCACGCTAGTCTCACACACTAGAGGTCCCCGGTTCGAACCCGGGCTCAGACATCTTTTTTAGAGTTTACATTTGATATTTATTTTAGAGTTTACATATCATTTTACATTGATATAAAAATATAATATTTTTAACAAGCACTTTAAATTATAATATTTTATAGTAAAGAATGTAGTTGGTTTCTTGGTTAGTTTTATACAATAAAGATCCCTGTTCCCTAACATTTTTTTGAGGTTTTATTTGATATTTATTAATATTTTTCATTTGTTTTGTTACACAAATTTAATTTCAAAATTAGATGACTATAGTTATAATTTAACATTCCCATAACTATAACTTGAAATATATTGAAATATAATATTTATGATAAATATCGTGATCTGAGTGGTGTATTTGGTTATCACGCAATTCTCACACACTACAAGTCCTCCAGGGTTCTATCAACTTACACACGCCAATTTCAAGTTCCTTCTTAGCACATTGTAGCTCAAAAGCCTCAACTTATTACGAGTATCGACCGAACCAAAGTCGCCACCGACTAGGGTAAGCATGCTGTTCAGCTTGACATACAAGAAATAAATAAGAAGAATGAAGATAAATTGATGTCTAATTCAAAGTCCCAACTTTCAGTGAGATACATGGGTAAAAGGAGATGTTTACTGAATAAAGAAGACAGTTTTTGCAAAACATTTGAAGAAATTTTGACATGCTTCTTTTATTTTCATGAGAAGGGCCATGAAGAACCAGCAAATCAGGAAACAAACCCATATGAGGATATAAGTCGCAGCGCATACACAAACAAACTACATGCCAACCTCAAAGAAGTCTGTGTTCGAAACAAAATCACCAGACTTCGGGTCGTAGCTCACCGGTCGCTGGAGGCATCCATTTTCCAGAGTTGTAGACATTTTCACCAACTTTCCAACCAGGCACATCCTTCATAACTTCAGCCTCATATTCAAGGTAACTCTTCCACTCTTTGACGAATCTAGAAAGTTAGAACAGACACGGTTAGATCAATGATATTAAACTTCGTTAAAACCATCAAGGATCCAGTAGTTTCAATCAGTGTTACTGTAAGAGTTTGAGGGCAGTTTACACGAAAATCATCCATTTACCTTTCATCTTCCTCAGCTTGAAGCACGGGCAATATTGCTCGTCGGGCTGCATATTTCTCTTCCTTCAGTGCCCTATACACGCCGTACATGCTCATTGTGAAATTCATAGTTTGCAACAAAAGAGTAATATAAACTTATAAAAACATTCATAAACAGTGAGAAAAGACAGGTCGAATGAAACAGCATGACATCATCTTCACCATTTCCCCCAACCAAATGGGTCACCGCTCTCACCTCGTTCAAGCAAAAGGAAAAGAAGGGAACAGAGGAAAGCAGGAAAGACTATTCCTTTAAACTGTCTGTAAATCCCATAAAAAGCCTTCAATGTACGAAGAAACTATAATCACTCTTCCTTTACAAATAATGTAGACTGATGTTCTTGGTTACGGCTATTAATCCTAAACAAATCAAGTCTAAACATGAATATGAAATTGAAATCACATTGAGCTCATTCTAGAAATTCTGTTGCAATAATTTAATGCGAGAACAACAGACCAGGCAAATTAAACAAATAAACAAGTAAAGGTAGTAATTTAAAATTGAAATTCATTCCAATATATCTACCCAACTATATTTCACATACCTTGAAAACAAAACGGGTGCATTTGTAACATAATATCAAAGATTCTCTGATGTTAAATAGAAGCACATAAGACATCTACCTGAGAGCTTTGTCCACCTATCAAGTCCTCAATAACCATTTCTTGCAACAATCAAATAATTAGGGGAAATTTTACTTTTATCACCTATTCTAAACTAAATGAATCAATTTGAATATTTAACTTCCAATTTGCTCAGTTTCTTTGGGATCGTTGGAAATCCTTGTTTGGTGTGCGTGGTGCTCAGGGACAGGATGGTTGCTTGTTGTTGAGGAGGTGCTTTTGAATCCTCTATTAAGGAAAGAGGTAAAGTCTTGTGGCAAACTAGCTTCTTTGCTCTTTTGTGGGATATTTGGTTAGAAAAAAACACAACAGAAATTGTGAGGAGTTGAGAGCGGGTGAGGTGGTTAGATTTAAAGCCTTCTTTTAGGTTTCGGTCACTATGCCTGATCTTGGCCTTGTTCTTTTGGATTGGAGACATTTTTAAAAATTTGTTTAGGCTCGTTTTTTGTATGCCTATGTATTCTCTCATTTTCTCAAAGAAAGCTCAATTTCTTACCAAAAAAAAGAAAAAACCAACTAGTTAAGTTACCCCATTTTGTGTCGTGTGAAATCCCACATCGGTTGGAGAGGAAAACGAAACATTCTTTATAAAAGTGTGAAAACTTCTACCTATAGAGGTAACGTGAGGCTGACATCGATACGTAACAGGCAAAAACGGACACGCAGTGTGTCCTCACAATATCATAGCCAGGCACCGGCCAATGTGCCAACCAAGATGATGGGCCACCAAAGGGGGTGGATTGTGAGATCCCACATCCGTTGGAGAGGGGAACGAAACATTATTTATAAGGGTATGGAAAACTCTCCCCAATAGACACATTTTAAAACCCTGAGGTTAATGGCGATAAACAAGCCAAAGCTGATAATATCTACTAGCGGTGGGCTTGGGTTGTTACATGAAGAGATAATACTAATTTTGACAACGTTTTGGTTGTGAGGACAACTAAAGTCCCAAGATAAGAAGAAGATTGTAGGTATATAGGTAAGAATAACTATTTCCATTGGCATGATCATCCTTAACAAATGGTGAGAAAGGCATACCCCAAACTTAAGCATGTCGATTAAATCCTTCGAATCTAAACATGTGGATAGTGATGAGCCTCAATGACATAGTTACGTGAAGATCAGTGATTCAGCTATATAAGACATGTGGTGTGCTTGAAGAAAGGCTCAGTGGTCCTCCGTTTGAAGATAACGTGTATAAATGGGACAATTATCTCCAATGCTATGAGATAATTTTAGTGAAGTCAAAAGCAAAGTCATGAAAGTTTATATTCAAAAGTGGACAATACTATGTCAGTCTGAAATTATGGAGTGGTTCATTGTTCTTAAGAATAGTTCTTATGAATGAAAAATGTTATTATGCAAGTATGTAATCTTCTAATTGTATTAAAGAAGAACTCTTTCGTTGGGCAATTTTCAAACTAAGTGTAGTTTTGAAGGGGGTTTAATGTATGTACGAAACTTAAACTTCATCATCAGATTCAAAGCGGGATGCAAAAGAGGAATGGAGATGGCCTCAACCCACCCTCAATTAAAGTAGCTAAGAAAGTGCTAATTTCTTTTCAAAAACCAAATGACTTGAAACTAATCAAATCCAGGTATCAAACCTAAACTCTCAATAGAAATTCGCTCCAAGGCATCTACCCGGCAAATCGGTAAAATCCAAAACAGCCTAGCACAAAGCATGAATCTCGAAAGTCAATAAAAATAATCAAATCCCTAGCAGAAATCCCCGGTCAAGAAGTCTAATACATCCCAAGCTAATTCACCCCTTAATTCGCAGAAAAGACGAAATCAAGATAGAAAAGCAGTAAATCCCGTTATTAGTGGAATGATATAAAACAGGTAATTGGCCATGGATTAAACTATAAGATAATGGGGGAGAAAATACAGACCTTCGGATCTTGTTGCCCTTGCCGACCTGATACATCCCCCAAGAAAACGCACCAAATGCAGTAAGGAAAATCGCCATAGCGCTAGGGCCTTTGGTGGGAATCCGGCGAGCATAGCGAACCGGAGCGAATCCACCCGGCGGTGGCCCGTCCTGGAGGATCGGCATGTCTTTGACGCTGGCCATGCCAGGCTTCTTCCGAATCGCGGCCTCCGTCATCTCAGAGAGCTGCTTCGACGATCAAGTGAACGAATCAAGAGCTGGCTGTAATGGAGAACCTGAGATTTGGGAAATGGGAGGTTTCGAGAACGAAAGAACCCGAAAGAGACGAAGTAATGGGGCTCAAAGTAGAATGCAGAGGGTGGAACCCGAGCGTATGAAAGCCCACTTTGCTGCCAAATAAGAAAACGCCACGTTGTTACTATCATCTCACCCGCAGGTGAACGAGTTATTGCCCGTCACCCAAATGGATGAAATAAAAAAATTAAAAAAACCCAAAAAATTGTTTTTCCATGACTTTCAATTTTAAAGAAAGTGGTATATATGAATTATTATTCGCCAAACAAATTAAAATTACAATAAAAAATCATATATATATATATATATATATATATATATAAAATACTTTTAAAAAAACAACATATTTACTTAACAAATGGGAGTAAGAAAAAAAATATATAAATGTATAATATAATTTTTTAATTGAAGAAATATTTTCTGGGTCGTTCCTCTCCGCCCTCTATATTAAATGATAAATGGTGAGAATGTAATGCCCTGATAACCCAAGAGTTCCTTTACAAGGTTCGTCCACAAAAGGTGAGTTAGGGTCTAAGTTCAGGTCGAAGGGCATAGTCGATGGACAACGGGTGAATATTCCTGTATTACCCCTGGTTGGTCACAAGGAAAGAAGATAAGTTAACTGAAAGATGGTTACAGATTTAAGGACATGTCCCTGCTTTTTAAGGATAAGAAAGTTAGAGAAAATACACGGTTTAATAAAAGTCAAATAGAATAATTATATAAAAATAAATAAATATAAAGTTTTAAATGTAGAAAGTTACAGAAACATAATAATTTTTAAAAAGAAAAAAAAATTAAAAGGTTGAGAGATGATAAAGTTGAAATATTAGGTTCTCCATTTATTAATTTTTTTAAAAAGTAATCTTATAAATATTAATTCCATCTACCAGTTTATTTATTATATAATTTATTATTTAAAAATTTTAGCTAAAAATTGAAACATTATGAAAAATATTAGAAAAATAAACGCAAATTAAAAAAATTGAAAAGAACCGCCAGATAACTCGAGAGAAACCCCACGGTTCGACCCGGTTCGCGCGAGGTAAGAAGTTGGACTTGTAAATCGTCGACCACGTCATCTGAAAAAGATGAGGTGTAATGTTTCCATTTTCTGCTAAACCCTAAACCCTAGAAGGCGCTATGGTTTGAGTTGTTTCTAGAACGTTCTTCTTCTCATTATTAAACCCTTTCAATCTCTTCCATTCATCGCCTTTCCCATTTCCTCCCACTGTTGTTGTTCTTCTTCTTGCTGTTCCCATCTCCTTCGTGTTTGGGTTTCAGTGGACGTCTACAATGCACCGATTCGCCACAGGCCTCGCTTCCAAAGCCCGGTATGTTTGGTTTGGTCTCCTTTAGATTGATAAGATTTGGAGTCATTTCTGTTCAATTCGTTCTGTTTATCGGCTTAATAGATTGTGAAATGAACTGGTGGCATCAATGGGGTATCATTCTTTTGAGTTACTGCCACATTGGGCTGTCTGAATCGATAATTGATGAAGTTTGATGAATTAATGGTGTTTTGTATTCTATCCACTTAAAAATGTTGTTTTTTTCTTTCGTTTGCAGTCTTGCAAGGAACGGTGCCAATCAGGTGAGTTCTTATTATGTTTTGATTACTTTTGGGAGTTTGTTTGATTATTTAACTTCTGATCTATTTTTAACTATGCTCGTGTCTGTATTTTTTTTTTTTTTTTTTTTTTTTTTTTTTTTTTTTTTTTTTTTTTTTT